AACAATTTGTTTCAGATGGCAATAAAAAAAGAAGTCGAGTTGTCAAAAGATGAATCAAAACAAGAAAATCTTAAATCAATGGAATACTTGAAAAAAGACTTATCTGAAGATAATACAGAAGAGAATATATTATACAATGGTAAAATTTGTATCATACAAGTGACATTTCTGAAATAAATGTTTTAAATTTCATTTGGCTATAAATGTGCACAAGTCCCATAAAATATTAAMAAWTTTTGCATATTTTATAAAAAAATTATTTTTATTTTTAAATTTTGGCTACAAAAATTAAATTTGAATGCCAAGTTTATTTTAAAATTTGTTTAATGTTAATAATATTTACAATAAAACCTTGTTAGTTCGACCTACACAGGGTTTCATGTTAGGATATACCTATTAGCTGTAGATGGGGACTTACCGCCCGGCCAAAAACCTGTTTTTTGCTGTTTTATCTATAAACTTAATAAATTATTAAAGATCATGAGRTTAATGAAGATAAAATTTTGAAAGGTTAAAATGTTCAGCAAAATAAACTATAAAACAGCTATCTTTATTTTTTTTATAAAGATAGCAGTACACCCTATATATTAACCTTTGTTTTTCTGACTAAGGAAATTTGTTGAATTTTTAATGGTTTGCAAATATTGTTGATATATCTGCCCCCAATACCCCTTTTTTACTCGATAAGTAWAACAAGATAAGGATGATACTTAAATTATTAGCTGTATTGTTAATTTGGAAAAAAAAAATGATTTTATCATTAATGTAGTGGGTAAGTGGGTTACATATACATTTATAATACATACCTTGATGGTGGTGAAGGGTGTCATAGCTAATCTAATCCTTCGCAAGTTTTTTCAAGTTAAATTTTTGGTATCTACCCCCTAGAAGAAATGATAAACAAGATACTATAAATGACATTTAATTTATATTATAATTAATTTTATTATGCTATATTTAAATTTTGTATTTTATTGAAATGTTTTTAAATTTAACAGATAATGCTATGATTAATTTTCCTTATAATTCAAGAATTTCAGAAACTTATGAAGAATACYCTAAACTGTGAGTATAAATCCTGAAAAAATTAACTCATTATTTTTTCGGAAATAATGAATATTGTATATTTAGTATGTATGTTAAACAAAATTATATGTATTAAAAAAATGATAATTTTGTTCTTTTGTAGGTTTCATAAATCATCAGAGAAAAAAATGAATGAACAGAAAAAAGTTTTTAAGGTTTGTTTTAAGGTTTTATTATTTCATTATTGTATTTTTGATTTATTTTAGTTTATTTTAACCATACAAATTTGAATATCAATGATAATAAAATAATTTATCCATAAAAACTTCAAATCACATTCTAAAACAATTTTAATTTTMTGWCTTGAAAGCCAAAAGATTAGATATGAAAATTTGATTTAAAGGATTTAAATTTTAAMAAAATCAGATATTTAAACAAAAATTACTAATTTTGATTATTTTGTTTAGATAAAAAAAAAAAATATATTATTTGTTGTGACGTAAAACTTTTTTCTGCTATATAGGTAGTAGGTACATATATTGCTATATTTACTACAGAATATTACAGTACWTAATATGAACCTATTCACACTAATCCACAGTAATAATAATAACTTGTAAGTTAATAATGTTGACTTATATTATATGGAACAATATTATAATTAAAAATTACTAAATTATATCAGTGGTGCCTAAYTCAATTTTTATAGTTGGGGCAAAGTACAAAAATTAATATCCACTCCCCTAAAAAACWCCTAACTAAATCGCGTATTTGCATGGGTTTTTGATATTCAGRAATATTTWTATTTTATTTCTCCTMATATGAATTATTTTCATACATCGCAATCATATTCACTACAATACACAACCGCCCTAACCACCTACGACTCTTCCACACACTTTCAAAGGTGAGACGTTTGYCCCACCAGTACATAAGGTTCAGTGCCACTGAATGATTTAATATATGACTTGTTTTTAATAAAATTAGATCAGACAAAATTGACCATATAAATATTTAAAAAAATAAGGTACATACAATATAAGTAATATAAATATAGAATAAAATATTTAAAATAATAAATTTAAGTTGACTAAGGTTTCTCTACTGAGAATCGATTTTTGTGTGTTTGCTTTGATTAATTTTGGACTTAAAATTGAACTCTATTTTGATGACTAATAGGTCATGTAGACCATATACCTAAATATAACTACATCATGGTCTACATGACACTTATTGTATAGCAGTGCTACTCTCTGGTTGTTTTTAATGTATCACCTTATAGATCCCGGTAATTTATCTGCCACTGAATTAGATATTTTTGATTTTGGCTGTTATTATTATTACTTATAAAATTAAAATATCTTATTATTGCATGTTTATGAAATTGTATTCATTTAAATTATATACATTGTAGAAAAACATATACTAGAAGTATCAACTGCTTATATTTTTTGACATTATCTATTCACAACGTCCTTTTTTATAATTATCATAATTAAGTTAATATTTTAAGTATTTTTGGTATCAACAATTTTAATTTTAGTTAAGTAAGTATAGTTTAATTCAGTTATGCAAATCGTTATTATAGATTATTAAATTAATTATTCTGTGTATGTCATTTGTGTGTAATGTCTAATGTTATACTTTTTAATTAATATTCTATAGTCTATGACTCAAGTGGAAATTTTACCAGCAAAAACACTGAATAAACGTAAACGACAGACAACTTATAAAGACTATTCAAAATATGATTTCCCTCAATCAGTGGACATAAAGGAGGAGTCATATGATAATTACGATCATGTTGGAAATGACAATGAAAATGATTTTGAGATTTTCACTACTCAGAACGATAACAATTCAGAATGTCTTACTATGACCAACACAGGTCAGTTTTCTTGTCAATTTTGTGATAAAGAGTTTACCAACGCCAATAGTTTATCCAGACACGAAAATRTTCACACTGGAAAAACTCCWCTCGAATGTGATGTCTGCTTCAAAACGTTCATCAGCAAATCTATATTGTGTATACATAAAAGATCACATACCGGGGAAAAACCATTTGCATGCATCATTTGTGGACGATCATTTACCCAAAAATCACATTTGGTTTTACATTATAGAACACACACAGGCGAAAAACCATATGAGTGTGGTCTGTGCGAAAAAAAATTTTCATCAACCAGTGGTCGAGCAGAACATACACGTAGACGTCACCCWWTTGTTTGACTGATGTTTTCATTAAAAATGCTTCTCATAMTGAAAATATAATCTAAATTTGTAGGGAATCTATAAATAATCAATTTTATTTAAGGTACTTTTGAATTAAAACTTCAAAATGCATTTTTTTTTATAGTTATATTATTATTAAATGTTAAAACTTATATTTAATTGTAGCTATCAATTTTTTCTTAAAAAATTATGAAATGTTTTTTTGAAAATAATTATTGTTCATTAAAAAAATAAAAGTAACAAAATATTTAAGAGGAATTTGTCTTTACTAGATCTCAGAAGTTGTAGCATTAAAGAATATCTTTTTAATGCTTTAATAGTATACTGTATACACTAAAAACAGTTCAAATATTATGTGTTAAAAATTGGGAAATATAGAAAATAAATTATCTAAAACAGTGCTTTTTAACCTGTCCGTAGCCCCCTGGGAGTCCAAGTTTCTCAAGCCGAGTGTCTGTGGTAGCCTCAACACCTAACATAAGTCAATAGTGACATGAGTGTATTATTACAAATAAATAAGAAAGAGGGATTGGTGTACTCAGGCAAATGTATTTCGAGAAGGAAATTATTATAATTATTATAAATTGTAAAACATTGTCAAAATAATTGGTGTTATAAATTTATAATAGGTCAATGGACAAAACACAGAATAGATAAAATGGACAAAATAGACGAAGACGTGCGGAAGTGGTTTCCAAGTTCTAACAAATTTGCGTAGATAACCGCGTGGAATTGATAACGGAGGGATGTAAACAAAACGAAATTGCGCGCCGTGCARACTGCAGCCTAGCAGCAGCAGCAGC